TTTTTTTTTTTTTTTTTTTTTTAAAAGGGCGATGGCCTTGAGGTATTATCATCGAAATAACCAGCCCAGGTAAATTCAATCATGTGTCTAATCTGGCACTGGGATCTAGGTCCCACTTACACGGATTAAGCGATACTAACCGTAGATAGCAAAAGATAAACGGCTAGAATCTCTCAATCCGTGCAAGTGGGACCTTGCCCCGGGTGGCTTTTTTAGCCCAGGGTGGCCTGAGAGCCTTAGGGTGGCCTGATAGCCTTCAGGGAACCCCCTACCTGGGGACACCGGCCAGGGGACAGCCGGTAGTAGAGGGACCGAGCATCATCTGACTGGCCAGTCGCTGTGCCTCCCTCCCTTACAACTGTTAGAACGAAAAACAGAACGAAAAAAAAAAAAAAAACCAAAAAAAAAAAAAAAGGAAAACAAAAGTGGGCTGTTGCCAGCACGTGTATCCCCTTAGGCCCACCTCGTTGTTGTCAGCCCGTGTATCCCGTCGGGTCCCTGTTTCCCGTTGCACAAAAGACAGAAATCATGGCGCTGTATCTTTCCATACTCTAACGCAGATTCACTCTCGTTTTCCACAGTTCGAAATCAATTGTGGAAACAGAGTGAATCTTCCACTGGAACATGGAAAGATACAGCCCCACGATCTTTTCTTTTTATTTTTTTTTATTTTTTTTATTTTTTTGGAAAACGGTCTGCATGTCCCACGTCGATGATTACACTGCAGTGACAACCGAGGAGTTTGGACTGCATTAAGGGGCGTAGGGCAGGTTCCCTAATTGGTTGGGTTTTTGGCGGCACTTCAGCATTCCACTCTGCAGTTCAGGGTCAGAGATCTCACCTGGGTTCTTGAATAGGGCCCAGAAGAGAAGCAGATTCTGATGGGACTGTCCATGGATGAGTACTCTTGGCTATAAATGCATAATAGCCAAGAGCACTCATCACGCTCGGATTTTCCATTTCCCCGCTTGTCGCACACGTCGAGTTGAGTGGCACGTTCCTGCACGGGTGAGCGACAAGCTGTGAGTACCGGACTTGGAGATTTTTCCTTGTTTCGCACGGCGAAACACCTTTTTCTTCAGGCTTGAAGGTGAGTACCCGAAACCTGGGACTAGGGAACAAGGGGAAGGAAACTGGCTTGAATTCAGGGTAGGTTCAGTAAAACTAGAGATTGAGTTCGCATTAAAGGAAGCAAGACCTATTTAAGGGAAGGAAGGTAGAGGTTAAGCCTCTTACTCGAGTACTTCGCAGATACTCGATTGCCAACGGCGCTTCGAGTTGGAGCCCGACTTCACGACGCTCTACCATAGAGGTGCTCCACCGTAAAGAGTAGAAGGGTCTGCCATACGGTGAATGAATTTAGACGACATCAAGACCACGTTAGGAAACCAGTGGGCTAGCTAGGAGGAATTTGGAATGAGCGAAAAGGCGGAGGGAGGGCTTCTGAAGAGTAGCTGGCTCGATCGGACGAGTATTTAGTAGTAAGGAACGAGAGTGACAGTCTTTTCGAAGAAGCGAACTGCGGCCGGCTTCGGCCGGCCGCGAGGGGCTCCAGACCAGGAGGAAACGAGGCGGAAAGCAACGGCGGCTGAGAATGGCACCGGGGAGGTAGCGCTCAGGTTGCGCTTGGGATAGGTAAGCACTCTGCGCTGAAAAGATGGAAGGAGCGCGCGGACTTCAGATTTAGGATCGAGTAGAAGGCCAAGAAGACGGTGTATGGAGATGGTCGGGATGAGGTAATCAAGAGTTTGGGCGCTGGGAGAAGATTTCAAACAGACGAGAGAAGGAAGGGCGAGAAGGGTAGGGTCTATCGGAGCTTCTTCGTTAGCAATAAAGGATGTAGCAACTCAAGGTGTCGGAGTTAGAGGCATTAAGAGGTTAATGACTTAAATTCTGCTCGCCTTGCATTCAAAACCATCGGGCAGGGAGATAAGATCTTGGGGTTCTTAAGTAGAAGAGCAAAAACTTACGATGAATCCGCAATCAATAGAACCTGGCGCACCTTCTCGATGGCTGATGGGTTGAGTTAGATAGTCTAGGAGGAAACAAGGCGGAAGCAACGGCAGCTAAGAATGGCGCCGGGAAGGTAGCGCTCAGGTTGCGCTTGGGTTAGGTAAGCACTTTGCGCTGAAAGACTAACGAAGAGCGTGGACTTCAGAACTACGACCGGGTCGAAGGCAAGAAGTTGGTGTATGGAGATGGTCGGGATGAGGTAATCGGGAGTTTGGGCGCTGGGAGGGAAGATCACAAATAGACGTGAGAAGGAAGGGAGAAGGGCAGGGTCTATCGGAGCTTCTTCATTAGCAATAAAGGATGGAGAAACTCGAGGTGTCAGAGTTAGAAGAATTAAGAGGTTAATGACTTTAAGCCTAGGAATTCTACTCGCCTTCCATTCAGAACCATCGGGTAGGGCGATAAGATCTTGGGGTTCTTAAGTGGAAGAGCGGAGACTTACGATGAATTCGCAATCAATAGAACCTAGCGCACCTTCTCGAGGACCGATAGGTTGAGTTAGAAAGTTTCAGGCATCAAATTTGAGACTTCTTCTTCCCTTTCGACTTATTACTGTTTTCTCCTCCATCTCTAATCATTCATTCCACAACTTGGATATGGGGCAGTCACGAAATTTGAATTTAATCCTACGTTAAGACCGGGATTTGCGCCATTGAAAAAGCGTTCAGCTCAAGAGGATGTCGTTGCCTGAATTCGGATCAGCCATCTGTATTATTCGGGCGACATTTGCCTGGTAAGGTCAACCGAAAAGATAGGGCTGAAGCTGGGGAAATCAGGGCAGATTTACTAATCTATCTGCAAGATTCAACGAAGTTTGTTTGTTTTCTTTGATCTCCCTTACTTCTTCGATCCCTTTGAAGAAATTAGCTTCTCCTTCGATTTGCCGGAAGATGAATTGAATCTGCGCAGTAGAACTATCCTTGCTTCCTTGAGATTATCAATTCGAGTTGTCTGCTCGATCTAGGAGTGGTCAGATCTGGTAAACCTACTTAGCACGCAATACTGGTTGCCTTCTTTACGGAGAAGTTTTCAGAGAAAAACAACTAGCAATACTGTACAAGTAGTGAACACTGGGTTAGGCTGTCTCGTTGCAATCAAGGATAATCATCTGAGTCGGTTGATTGAAAGAAGACAATAATATTCTGGGCAGAGGGTAAGTTCGATGAATCAAAGGGAAGGCGGGCAGGGATTAGCGGAAGGCACGAGACTCGGGTTAAAACTGTGAGGACAAATTCGTTCAAACAGCCGATTTAAACCAAAACGAAGGCAGTTTTCTCTCTCCCTAAACCACTTTCGGAAAATCAGCGATTGCTCGAACTGATGATGAGCCTGACTTTCGCTATGGCGGGAACATTACCGGATTGGACCTTGGTTGTGCCAAAGCCGGAGTACGACGTTTTCGATCATGAAGTCGAGGACCAGCTTGCTCACGACATCGGAGAACTGAATCTTTCAGCCAAAAGATTGACAAGCACCTTGTATTTCGCAGGAGATTTCAGCAACATCCATGTCATGGATCGGGAATGTGGAACGCTTTCTCCTCTTACGAAAGCAGACATTTTTAGGAATTGGGACTTCAGAAAACTCCGCGCCAGCTTCGGGATCAAATTCAGATTAGGAAGAGAACGTGCGATAGAGGTTCTATCAAAATTCTTCATGCGAAACCGCTTTTGTGTAATCACCAAATGGAGTGGAAGAGGGGAGATAGAAGTGGTAGACAGAAGTATGATTGTCAAGGCTTTGGATCACTGGGCATTGGGAGAACTCTTGGCCTTTCTGGCAACAGAGAAGAGCAGTGGAAGATCGATGATCGGTTTGAACCAAGAGGAGATCAAGCAAGTAAAAGAGCTGAGCAGGAAGGAGGCCAGTGAGTGGTTTGGAAGGGCAAGATGTAAATTTCTGGCCCTAGGAGGGATGATCGGGTGCGTGGGAGGATTCGACATGAAATTTCCTCTAATTGAACATCTCATCAAAGGGTTCGAACCGAAGAAATGGGAAGGGGAGGGAGTCGACGAAATGAGAGAGGGCTTGGTTTGTGAGCTTTGGAAATACAATCCGACTGTGCGGAAGGCTATGCAACTTATGGAGAAGGAGCCTGGATAACGAGTTTGGGTTGTGAGAGGGCGGGAATTGATTTCCCAGAAACTTACCGAAATGGAGGAGGAAATATGCGGTTGAAAGGGGCCTGGAATGGAATGAGCCAAGAAAAAGGCGAAGTCTTTTCTCCACTCTTCTTCGAAATGACGGAAGGCGAATCTCGAAAGCAATCAGGCGGAAGGAAAAGGAGTCGTGATGAAGAAGAATCTCGCCATGGGGAGGACAGGACCTGAGCACGAAATAGGATCAAGTAGTTATCATATGCGTGGAAGACTTGTCTGTGCTTAGTTTTCATTTAATGCTACCTAGGCAAATATCTCCGGGAATTTTAGAATTAGCAGGGAATCCTGAAACTCTAGTTGTTCGAAGTCACTGTTGTTGAAAGACAGTAAAACGGAGGAGGGGCGAGGGGGAGAAGTGAGGGAACTAGCATTAGGACCCGATCCTGTTTTTTCTCTGAAAACCACAAGGATTAGGAGAATTCTCCAATTACCAATTATTTCCTAAGTTCGTTTCGCTTTCATTAAGAACTGGACTCAGCAGTAATTAAATCCCTAACCTCTTAAGGACCTTCCCCAATTCTCATTTCCTCGTATCCCACCCCTTTTTTTCCACCCCCTCTCTCCCTCAGACGACTTCTGACAGAAAATAGGAAACCTTAAGACCCTGTTAAAAAAAAAAAATAATAAAAAAAAATTGGACTTCACACCTTCCCAATTGCTACCAAATTAACATTGCAGCAACAGAGAGCACTAGCTGGAGTTTCTTCCCTCCCTTCTTACCTTCCCCACCTCTCTCTCTCTCCTTTTCACCTTCTACACTTCTCTTTTTCACCTCCATCTCTCTTTCCAAGAGGTAGGAAGAGAAGCCGCATTAAATAAAAGTCTTATCTCTCGGATGATGAAAACTGATCTAGGGTCTCTTCTATTTTCACGAGCCAATCTTGTCACGAGTGTCACTTTCTTGCTAAAAAAAAATAAAAATAATAAAAATAAAATAAAAAATGTACGGGGGGTTGGACCATGCCTGTGTAGTGGAGCGGAAAGGGGAGGAAAAAGGGCTATAAAATCGCTTGGTTAAATCTAGAATACTCGGCCTTGCAGTGATCAAATCTCACTCTAACCCATCCTCGTCCTCTTAACCCCGGAATGACCTGTTATTTTTTTTGTATGACCTGTTTAAAGATATCCTTAAATTCATCACCTTTTCATTTCAGAAGAAAGGATCCTGGTATGAGTATTAGGTTTGCTAGTTATCAACCCCTTGTTAAAAAGGAAAGGATTTTTTGGCATGGCAGGATGCTTATTCTTTCCGCCCTTATTTGAATAATTACATTTGTTTCAAAAAAAAAAAAAAAA